CATTTGCTTTCGCAAATTCCAAGCACTTCAATGTGATACCTTCTCATCTCGTTTGCAATCTGGGCTACCTTGCCAGCCAGCTTCAAACATCGTATGGACATTCCATGTCCCTATGTTTACTTTCGCTTTCATCGAGAGAAGGTACATCGGCCAGTTGGCTACAAGAAGGCTTTCACTAACTGGTGTCATTTCCTCTCTCCGATTCCAGCAAGGAATAAGTTTATTTTTATTTTTTATATTTCGTCTGTGCTTTGAAGTTTCTTTAGCGATTGGATTTGTTTTACGGGGTAGGGTTGCTAGCCCTATGCCCAACCTTCCCTCTTTATCCGTGCTTTAGGACCGGCTAGTAACTAGTGAACTAGTTAACCAGGCTAGGTTGTGTATGTGGTTGAGCGTATTCGTATGTATCGCTATAACTTAGCTATGAGTTCCTAATCTTATTAGGGTCTACCAATCTTGATTTTGTCAGGTTTTTGTTATCGGACAGCTTGGTTGGCTGTAGTAGGCTACTTGAACTTGTGTATTTGACCTCACAAGCATTGCAAGGAATTTGATAAAATAAATTGTTTATGCCTAACTGGATCAGTAAGATCTTTTAACCTACAAAGATTGTTTCTAAGTGCGTTGGTAGATTTATTTTCGAACTATAATCTCAACCTTATTGAGGATTTTTCGTAATGTTTCGTATCTAATAAAATGAAATTACAATATACCACAGTGCCCAGCTTTTTGCTCCTGGATACTGAAAGTACTTCATATAATATAAATTAAACATTTTAGCTCACATATCGGTAATTATTTCACTGGTTGACCTCTTGTTAATATTGACAGTGTTTATCTGAAAAGGCTGTGCGCTGTAAAACATTGGAACTGTCACTCAGTGATATAAGCATTTTATTAAATATAGCCATGGTTTCGAATCCCACTTAACATTAGGACGTTTGAATTGCGAACAACACCACACCATAAACAGTTGTAGTCCATAGCGTAGCACATTAGTGTGTAGTTGGTTTCCAAGTTTTTTTCACAGCGCCACGTGTTTTAGTAAAAATTACATATTTCCCTTTTTTCGATAGTAAGCGTTCAATATCTGTTGGCTCACATTTCATTACTCCTATTATAGGAAGAGCTGTGTAACATCTGAGTTATGAGTTCACCTTTTTGAACTCTCAGGGATTTCCAGGCTACCTTAAATCCCTATTTGAATATTTTGGAAGGAAAGAATATTGTTTACAGATTTCTCAAGTTACTTTAAAGACCATTTAAGCAACGACTGAAATTATCTGAAATTCCCCTTATATTCAGTAGAAAGCGATAATTTTAACTTACTATGTTTATCAAGGGGCTGATTTAGGGATTCCACTCATTACCTAGTTAATACAGTTGAGACAGCAAAGCTTCATTCCAGAAAGTGTGTACAAAACGCTCAGACACATGGGTACATTAACTTTGAGATCTCTGACTTACTAAAAGCGCGTAAAAATTTTTTACCACTCGGACTGGTTCTCGACATGTGAACTTTGCTGTTACAACTTTACTGCTGTGAAATAGATGATACATTCCTAATTCTGAAGAATGACAATGTCGAAAGGATTATATTCGATAGTTTTAGCATCCATCCAGCTATTTCCTTTACCATTGAAACAGAAAGTAACCATAGTATCGATATCTAAGATGTTCTATTGACTAAGAAAATGGATGGAACTTTAAAAAGGGATGTATATCGGAAATGAGAGTCATCCATTCGGAATATACTCATTCTTTAAATTTCGTGCCTGTACAAAATAACTGAAATTTAGTGGAATTCTTGGTTCACCGAGCAAGAGTTCTGTTCACATACTACCGATGAGTAAATTAGAATTATACGTTGTCTACTCGGTAGTAATGAAAATCTAGCGAAGTTCCCAGCTAAAAATATGAACACATCTAACTGGCAGTCAAAAAAATTAAAAGACTTGGAAAATAGCTATTCTCAAGACTACAGTCTTTGGTGATATTAGCAAAGTTGTACCACAGTAGCCATTTAGTGTACAGCTAGGCAAGTCCGTTGTCAAATTTCTGCACATCATCCGCCATAATTAAAGAAACCATAGACAAGATCGATACAAAGTTTCACATTAGCATCTGGTCTACACTTATCACTGGGTTCATATTAATAATGTCTCCTAAGTTATATGCCTTCTAATTTCACCCGTGCTCTAAACGTTGGTCTTTTAATTAACACAGAAACCACGGAAATTCACCTGAATAGACTGAACACTTGTTAACTCTCAGCATTAGGCTTGGTGATCCATTTAGCTTAAGATAACCCTTCGCCTTGACAATTCTACAAACAATCACCATTATTATTACAGTTTCAATGATCTTGTTCTTCCCTCCTTGCCTCTAATTGTATTGATGCTGGGTGATGATTGAAGGTGAAATTAAAGCTTGGACCACCACTAGATTCAAACCAGCAACCAAAAACTTCACAAAATCAAGACTGGTAGACCCTAATGCGATTAGGAATTTATAGCTAAGTTATAGCGATACATACGAATACGCACAACCACACAATAGCATGGGACGGTAATAAGCACTAATATAGAGAAGTCGAGGAAGAGATTCATAACCAAATCAACATCAGATACATGTAAAAGGAATGACTCAACAGCTGTTCCAGAAATAGGAAATCGTACAACCCATATCACTAAACGATGAGAGAGAAATCGAACCATTTAAATGATATCTCGTACACCTTGTGTATCAGCCTCGGTGATCTACATAAATTATTTGTACAAAGATAACTCTTCACCTTGACCGTTTCACAAACAATCACCAGTATTATTACAGTTCCAGTGATATTGTTTTTCTCCCCTCAGTCTTTAATTCTTCTTACGTAGTTACTGTCAACAATTGACCACTTGATATGATCATTCATTCCACCCTCTTGTTAATCACTACTGTATAAACAGTGAAATAAATAACATTGTCACGTAACTTTAGTTATGAAAAGTAGCACACTGCTGTAGTCTTGTTAGTTGTTTCTCCTATTTTTACTAACTTTCACTGTAAAACTGAAATTTCTTGTTATTACTATGTCTTTTCAATGTTTTCAGTTACGTTCGTTATTTACCTCAGATTAGCTTTTTAACATACCTTCGACTATATCATTTTATTGTAGGGAATAAAGAAAAGAGCGGGAAAGAAATTTTTTGTTTTATCACGTTATTAAGCTGTACAGTCGTATTTGAATATAACACAACCATATAAGTCAATTATAGGACATACGGGTACAATCGGTTCATTAGATTAGTGTTCTAAACTTAAAGCCCGAGAAAACCGGGCAGGCTTTAGACTCGGCTGCAGGTGTATCGACCAGATATCAACTCTGTGCCAGGTTCTGGTACATACGGTACCCTTACCGACGCCCGACAACATCTGTATTTCTCGACCTAAAGGCGGCATTCGACTCCGTTGATCGAGAAGTCTTATGGCGATGTCTCTCACTAAAAGATGTGACAAGTAAGTACATCACCTTATTGAAGGCTCTCTACTCGAACACTTGTGGGCATGTTGGAGCCTATTGTGAGATGTCCAGGGAGCTACGCTCATCGAGTGGTGTCCGTCAAGGATGCCCACTATCTCCATTCTTATTCAATTTCATCATAGAGATTCTTATGGAGGCCTCCTTCTCGTCATCTGATTACAGAGACGTTGACCTAATGACAGGAGAATTTTCATCAGACCTAGAATATGCAGATGACATAGTCTTGTTAGGTGAAGACGCTGACAAGATGCAGAGTCTTGTGAACACTTTGAGTGGGAATTTGAGAATGTTTGGAATGCTGTCCTCATCACCTAAATGCAAATTTTTGCTCTAGGATGGGTCTTCGTCGGTGTCACGGCTAACAATAGAGAGTGAGGTGGTTGAGTGTGTCGACCACTTTATTTACCTGGGAAGTAGAATCAGCTCTGGTGGGTCAGTTGCCGATGAGATCTCTGGACGGATACAAAAGGCTCGGTTGGCTTTTGCCAATTTACGCCATCTGTGGTGCCGCTGTGATATCCGATTGTCTATTAGGGGTCGCGTGTACTGCACAGCAGTCCGGTCTGTTCTACTGTATGGCCGTGAAACATGGCCATTGAAAGTGGAAGACATGAGAAGACTGGCTTCAGGTGTTTGACCATCGTTGCCTTCGTAGTATAGGCCGTATTCCGTGGTGTCACCAGGTGAGTAACGCAGAAGTCAGGGGTAGAGTTTTAGGGAGAAGAGGTAAGTCGGTTGACAAGGTTGTGAGCCTTCATCGACTGAGTTGGTTGGGACACGTGTTACGTATGCCTAGTTACCGATTGCCTCGTCACACAATGTTGGCCGAAGTAGGCTTAGGATGGAAAAAGGTCCTAGGTGGCCAGACTAAAACATGGCACCAATACATGAAGTGTTTGACTGTTGGTTTGAGTCATGTGGGGCAGTGCAGACTAGGTGGTTGGGGTCCGCGGGACAAGAGGAACCAGTGGTTGAAGACTCTAGGTGGTGACATGGCTGAGAACCGATGTTAGTGGTCCAGATGTATACACACATTATCCTCATCTTAACACTATACCGATTCTCACCACTTTCTCATTCTTCCTTTCTTTCTAGTCGTACTTTATATTTCTTCTGACTGAATTTTCTTATTCTCATCTTTCACCTCACTACCTTTGTACTTGATGTACTGTTATGAGCTGTAGCAACTCGGACTGTTACGCAGTAATGCCTGGTTCTATGTTGATGTGGATGATGATGATGAAATAAGGAAACTGAACTCTATAAGATGAAGACTACTTCTGACTAGTTTTGCAAATGAATTTAAGATCTTGAATTTTGTGATTATTTAGGCATTATTTTCGAAATTCCGAATAATTATTGTCTATTTATTTAATCCTAGTGTTGCTGACTTCTGAACTGGGTATGCTTTGACAAATATGTAGGTATGACGGTTTACTGCTTTCCTTATTTACTGTATCTTTGTGTTTAGGTAATCGAAGGCGCTGGACATCAGGTCTATGCACAAATGTCTGAAGAATTCAATGCGTATGTTAATATGATTGGAAACGCGTTGATAGTAATGATTCTTTCACTCCATGCGATTATCGTGTAAATGCGAATGCTGAGAATGTTACGTCTACCCCTCTCATGAATAAAAACAATGAGGTTTCGAATGCAGCTGAAAGCAATCGTTCAACCAAAGGACATAATGGTCGAACTCGTCACAAGCGATCATCTGTTCCATCATTTCCTAGAGAAACTCCTCCATCAACTCAGCATGAACGTTTGAATCAAAGCAGTAGGCAAATATGCCGAAATGAAGAAGCAAGTGATGAAGCTTCTGATTAATCACCAATTTATGCTTCGTTCTACCTTCTTTCTATCCCGATTTAATGACGGAGATTATTCACTGTTAAATATATAGTATTCACTTTTTTTCAGCTTTACTTTACTTAGTTACAAGCTAGAAAGTAATATCATTCAGCCATAGACTTGGTTTTTTTTTATGCCAAATAGCACACATTGCTCTTCCTGGCATTAGTCTTTCTTTTTAAACTTGTACCGGGTGTACATGAATTCTGATGTTTGTTGATTTTAGTTCCGCTTGCTTTCTTTCTTGAAGCTTTATTTTTGATATCAACCCTGTTTGATTATTGGCTATACCGTTAGAGATTTTTATTAAGCAAAACAAGACTTACACAGATTATTTGCTAAAATGTTTTTTTCTTCGATTTGTTCGAAATTAGATTCCTATGAAACTAGATACTAAAGCTACTAATTTTTATGCGCAGGGTTTTCCCTGTCATTATAATAATGGACTGCCATTTTGATTTGATAAAGTACATTGTCTTTCCATGTCATCTTTGTTTCTTCCTTCTCGTTTGAAACACATCTTTGTCATTATTTTTTGACGATTACTACCAGTAAATAAGAACCAGTTAAGCCGTAAAGGATGATATCGACTTTGATTATATGTTCTAATTACTCGAGTATTTTTGTTTATCTTTCTTCCTTATGTTTTACTTTGTTTTTCCTGTTGTTTGATAATTTTTACTTTTTATTTTATGATCAATATGATTGCTATATCATTGTACATTGTTAGCTGCTGTACAGCGTATCTCGTTAGATTACGTTTGCGGAGTATTTTGACCACGGAATATGACTCTGCGAATACTTTCACTAGCATGCTAAATTCTCTTATATTTACATCTTTTATAGGATTGTTCACTGTCTGTTCAGGGCTGTTTTCACTATTTCTGTGATTTTAAGCCTGTGAAATTGCTTGATATTTCTATATTGTTAATGTCTCCAACGTTCATCGGTAGGTAAAACAGGTAACAGCCATTTGAAGTATCTTCACTTTCAATTTGTAAAGTAATGTATTCTTCAGGCTTTAATGGGGTTGAACATTTATTTTCATGAGATCTGTTCCTATCTTACCAGATTAGCTTCAAACTGGCTAGGCATATAATGAGGTTAGGAAAATCATTTCGTAGAATTCTCAACAAAAAAGGTTGCCACTTAGACGTATCTAATTTAGTGTTCACTAATTTGTTGTCGCATACTGTGATCTGTAACATTCTCCATAAACCAGGATGGATTGAGGTGAACGAACTCTTTCTCTTAGCTGTACATTCGTAAACATGTGGTTGAGAGGATATATATATATATATATATATATATATATATATATATATATATATATATATATATATGATTAGAATCGGGAAATAGATTGGTTATTAGAAACCTAAATATGATGGCATCAAAGAAGGAATTATCTAGTGATCAATCCTTCACTATTTACGTAGCAAAGAAAGAGGTTGTACATATTTCTGTTTGCATACATAATGATGGTTTGAACTTTTGACTTGCTAGTGCTTCAGCTATATCCAGATGTCTTATTCTTACTCCATTCGAGTGGTTCAGCAAAACTTTGAAGGACTTGCTAAAAGGAGTCAAGGGTCTTTAGTTTACTGAGTGTTCTGTTACGAACTTAAATATGCGTGTCGGTTCCACCTTTGTCAACCAGGCTAATGGTGTTTATGCGCGTGTTTCGCAACCTAGCACATGTTACGGTTGATTTACTCGGTCTCATCACAGTGAGTAATCTGATACACACACATTGATGTGACCAAATCTCTAGTTTGTCATTTACGTACCAACAAATGGGTTTCTGACAGGAGAATGGAATTCCTGAAATTGCCTGCAGAAATTTTCGTGCTTATGAGCTTGGTAGTCCCTTATGAAGTATGTTTTCCGCGTTATCATCCTTGATTATGAGATTCAGAAGTAGAATGACTTTCGGGATATAGTGTATAACTTTTCGGTTTTGAATTTTTATCGGCAGATTCCAGGGAGTATTCATTCTCCATCGAAATTTCCCACAGGTTCTTTAGTTCCTCATCGATGGTGTTCCTTGTGCATATTTTTCTTTTTATTGAGGAAAGTGAATTAATAAGTTTATTCCTCCTTAAAGGAATACAACTTTGAAAATTATTAAACTGCTCGTTCTAAACAGCTTTTCTGTATAATAGATTTCTAGACCCAAATATTCTCCTTTCTTTGGAGCTGGACACCAAGAAAGTGGAATTTCGATTTGACCTTACTTCTGAAGCGAAGTTGATAGAATGATGAACACTATTGAAAGCTTTCAATAGATTTCCGAAGTTGGTATTTTCATCATAAATAATAAATATATCACCTGTGTATCTTTCTTACATATGATCATTTTTGACAAATTTATTTTTTCCGAGCTTACCATTAAGCAGTTAGCTAAGATGAGTCCTTAGAGGCGATCTAATTGCCAAGCCATCTATCTCGCTGTAGATTTCCTTGTTAAATCTGAAATGCACTTTGAAAGTACACCATAAAAGAAGGTTCTTCGTAAGGGATTTGGAGCACCATTGTTTTGTGCTATGGAACTTAGTGAAGTCAAATGGTGTCTGTTAGTTGGGCATTTGTAGACAGGCAACCAACATCCAGAGAAATCATCCTCTTCCCTAACAAACTGACATCTTTGTTTGAATCCATAAAGTGGAATTTGTCATGCAGACTATGTTTCATAGTTTCATTCTTCTTTTATTCACGCACCTTGACAAGTCACTTTACAACTGAATGATAAGAAGATTTCTTCATATTTGGCATCAGACAGTGGGAGCACCTGTGTCCATTTAGTAGAAAATATAATCGAAGGATCTAGTGGCGTTTAATGCTTATGGCTGTCTCATTTTCTTCAATGTCTTCGATGATGGAAGTTCTTCTTTGGTAGAGTCCTAAATTGTTTAAGTAATCTATTTTCACTTGATAAAATGCTTGAGATTTTATCTATACAGTCTTGTTTATTCAGCAGCACCTTTGTTAGGACGCAATATGGATGGATATCCATTTTTCTAAACTGGTTTCTATGTTGCTTCGATATATATAAATACAAACCATACAACATTTTAAAACAGTTGATTCGATAGGGTCTAGCTCAATACCTGAGGTTGGGCCTAGATAGGTCTTCCATTTGGTGAATTCGATTCTCGAACTGGACCTTTGTGTTAAGCTTGTTGACGTTTGATGTTGCTTCGCTAACTTTTGAACAGAGGAGTAAGACCTGCATCTAAATCGAGGACAGTGACAGATTTGAGTAGTTAAGTACGTATTTTTGGGCATAGCGAAAGTGGTTTTATCAGTTATTAACTTTAAACTCTTATTTAGTTTTCCGTTGGTCTCACCAGTTCACCTCTTGTGATGGTAGCAATGTAGCTGTCAAATTCTTTACTTTTGTTTGTAGATAATTCAAGAAGAATAGGGCTTTTAGTATGTAATTCGTTCTAGTCCTGATAATCGAAACCAAATAGTCAAAATAAGGCGTTAATAAGACAAGTATTTATCTTCCTAATACTTTATTTAAATTCATAATACGGAAAAACTGTTTGAGAGAGACAGCAGTTCAGTGCGTCATTCAAAGTGCATGAATCAGGAGAAATATGATTAAGTCTTCATTTCTTTCAAAGCAATCCAGCTTATCCAGAAATTCCTGAGGAGAGAAATTTTCCCATTCACCTCTCAAGGTTTGATCGCAAAAATACACAAACTTGTCCTATCTTTTTGCCGTCAAAGTGTCCTTGCTATTCTTTTAATATCGGAATAGACCCATATGATCACAACGGTAAGAAGGCAATTGTAGCGGCGAAATTTTTTCCTTTTCTATAAACTCATCCTCTTAAATGTACGTGAATATATTGCAGAAGGATCTAACATTCCAGAGTAATTTGCGGTCAAATGTCAAGACACGTTGCACAAAAAGGAAAGTTGCGTAGTATATATATAAGAGATAGATAGAGGGATTTAGAATAGGGAAATAGATGAACGATTGGAAAAGAAAATATGATGATATCATAAGGGACTAGACTAGAATAGTTGATCCTTTGCGATGGTCATACTTATCATTTGTTTGCTTGAGAAAATGAAATCATATTTATGTTCAACTTACTCCTCAATTTTGTATTTATGATCGGCACCATAACCGTTAACTGTTGCTTTGACGAGATCTCAGGAGTCAGTTATTTGAGTTTTTTATCGTGTAAACTTATAGATTGAGGCGTTTTTAGTCTTCGGAGGGTAGTGTACTCTTAAAATCTTCAACAACTCTGAAAATTCTGAATAATATTTATTCATCGGGAAACGCATATTTTTCAGTTAGTTCCATGTGTGAGCACTTCGACTGGAAATCGCCTTCCATCGACTGATTACCTTAAACTGTCTGTTTCAGATTAACAAGCTATCAGCTGGCAAGACACCAAGAACTGTTCATCAACCACTCCTTTTTGTTTCTTTTAATCCTTTGAATAGTTCCGATCAACAGTTTGATGTTACACAATCTCTGATTTCTCATAAATTTTAGATGTTTTACGCAAGCTCACGGTTTCTCTTTAATACATTTTATTTTTTACCTAGGAGACTTCACGCTCCGCAAAGACTAGTACCAAATACCACTTGTTTCAGCCGGCTACATTATGAAATATAGAAGATACTGAAACCTTATCCATTCTTATATACCTGGTAATAGCTGCTGCTTTTTAGTTGGAAATGTTATTATTTCACATACGATAAGGGATTCAGTTATTATCTAACTAAGACCAATAAGTGTACAAGACTTTCAATATTTTATACTGTATCTTTTAATGTTAGTAGAATCAGACGGATCAATTGTAAGTTTTATGCAGTCCAGCCTACATCCTGCCATCTGCCTATTCCTAAGAATTGTATTCCTGTATTATTTGAACCCATCAAGGAAACACTACTTTCTTGGAGCACAAATTTGTTAGACTGAGGGATTACTGTAGAGTATTTATCACGACATTTATAGTGGGATATCTTAATTTTACCTGCCAGTTACCATAGGGAACAGGTAAGTGCTGCATGTTTCCAAAGAAACCCCACAAACTCCTCTGTAAAATATGTCAGTAGTGCTTACCGCTCATAGACGTAGCTTAATATACAAAACCCTACAGTTCTTTCACTTTTTGTTTTGTTTGCAAAGTTTTTCGGGTATGCCGGGATCTAATCTTCTGTTTGTACATAGTACATTTTCATTCGTGTTAACAAGACAGTATTCTCTCAGTTTCCTTCTAACCTACTTGGTGAGTAAACACTACATTTGTTGTCTGTGACAACACTATAAAACAAAATTGTATTCTGCGTCTACTGAAATGGATAGTCCAAAATATTGACAGGTATTTTGTTTTCGTAAAATAAATTCCAAGATAAAAGGATGTATGTGACTTCCTCATTACTTGTTGTGGAAATATCGATAAAAATATGTGCTACATTTTCTGATAACAATTTGTAACGACAGAAATGTACAAACTATGACATCAAAAGCCATACTATACCCGTCGTACAAGGAGTGGCTGCCATGACTCAGTGGCCTAGTGAATAACACTCTGGTATTTGAAGCGGTCACTTTAGGTTCTTGTCCTAGTGGGAACAACACCGCTAACCAGGAGGTAAGTGCATGAAGCTGATGAGTCCGAAGTAGACGAAACGCATATCCTGGATTCCACTGCTAGCCACTATCTATTAATTATATGAAGTTTTTAAAGACCTTCTTAGTACTTTTATTGTTCGACTTTGCACCGCTTTAAATATTCTGATCACAGTATCAGCAAATCACCTTCTGAAAATTTCTATAAATGACGCTATTGTGTGTATATATTTCGTTTGCGGAATACTCAAACTCATTATTTTACTATCAATTCATATCTCTTCACAATGATGTACCTCTTTGCAGAGACACACAGTAAAGCCTATTACCGATCTCATTTATGCATCTCAACATTAATAACAAACCTTTGAGTGCGCTGCTAAAAAGTAATATTAGCTTCATTTGTTTTTTTCTATTCAATTTAATTCCAGGAATGGATATGTT